TACCAGCTATCCAATGGTTGTACGTACAAGTCTGTAGCATACCCCTTTTTCAAACGTTTATTTAAAGTTTAAGTCTTAAAGAATCCTATGAAATTTGCTAAATGTGTCCAGCATCATTAATAGAGCAAGTTTAATAGTTTAAATATTTAGCCTCAGTGATAAATAAATTAAATACCTTTTAAACTATTTGACCGATCGGGGGGAAATTTCGCACAAATTTAAAAGACGATAATTCCTCGAACTTCAAATGTATTAATAACATTTTATTTTGTTATTTTGAAATTTATAAATCAGTGCAAAAAAACTTCTTTTTTGTAAGTATCTCCGTAAATTATTTATCAATTTTAATTTAAAAAACGGAAAAATAAAGATATTCTTGATATAAAAAAATGATATAAATATTATTTATGTAAAATATAAGGGGAAAACTTAGACAAAAAATAAAATTGTAACCATAAACTATTGTTTACAAAAAACGCAAGGTAAACACATTTATTTATACTTATGTACTTATTAAGTACTTTTTCATCTATTCGTCATCAAGTAATCCCCACCTATGCCTTGAAAGCTTCAGATAACTGCGAAAAAATTTTTGACTTTTTTTAACCAGACTGGGCTAAAATGGAAAAGTGCAGTTTGGGTAAAGAGGGTCTTATAAAACGTTACAGTGCGTTACAACAGAGGTGGGAAAGGGGACCTAAACAAGCCGTTACTTAACATTGTTTTTTTTTACTAAAATAAAAACCTATGGAATTAAACTTCTCGCGAGTTAAAAATCCTTTTCTTTTCCGTTTTAAGGGAATTTTTCGATTGTATTGTACAATATTGTTATTTTGTTCCTTTTGTTTGTTTTACAGGGATTCATTAGACAGTATTGTATCCTTTATATTTTGTGTTCGTTATCAGCAATACACAGAAACATGTTGCTAAATGTTGACATTGTTGTTAAATTGAATTTATGTCATCAAAAGTTAAAAAACCTGGCAATTTACAACTTCGATGTTTCGGCGGAATATAGAAATAGTATTTGGTATTAGGACCATTAATATTTATTCCTACTTCTATATGAGGTTTTTACTATGTGTTATTATCTCCTATAATTTAAGCGATTTAGGAAGAGTGCTGAATTATAAATTTCTTATTTGTTTCTAAACTAATAAACGTTCACGAATGAGGGTTTAGAAGGTTTGGAGAGGTAGTACCTTTGTACAGGGTTGGCCAGACACTGGTCCTTACAAACTCCCAGGGCTAGTTAATGTGAATACTGCTCTTTCAAGTGGAGTTTTAACCTCCCACTAGTCAAGACCTCCCATTACTGGGCCTACGCTGTGGAGAATCAACTCTTCCATATGCTTGATAACAGAAACTTACAGGCGGTAGTCACATAATGGTTTAACTGGCTGTGATACTGCGGTTTGTTGGTTTAATACCAGTTGCGGTGCTCAAAATAAAAGAAAAAGAAAACTACTGCATTAAATCTCCCACGAAAAGCTTTATGATTAGAAACAAATTATACTACGGCCCCGAGTCTCCGGCATCTCTTTAATTAGACAGGGGTGTTAATAATCTATGGAGGGAATAATAAAAATAGATCATTGCTACGTGGATGTTAAAACTTTTGATCAATCATCAAAACTGAAAAATGTACAACTCGAAATGAAATAATTGCAAAAGACTAACACTGTTACTATGATAAAATGAATTTATTGAAAAGAAAATTACTTTCAAAAACATTAAATTCCTAGCTGAGCACTTTCGGTTTACAAAACCATCTTCCAATGTAACAACAGTAGAAGAAACAATAAAGTCAGTCGACCAGATCAAATATACAGTGAATAGCTGAAATTACTCTCAAATGACAATATTAAAGAACTGATTGTATTATTGAATCAAATACATATATGATATCAGTGAAAGTTTATCACACTTGTTAAAATTAATCTTTATTTGTCTCCATAAGAAACTAGATTAATTGCTATTTAACTGGGAATACGCCACAATTAAAGATAAAAATACGTTTATTGACGTTTCAATTTCCACTTCGGAAATCGTTCTCAAAATACAAACAGTAAATTAAACAAATTTTGTTTTTTGTTACATAGTGAAAAATTCTTCTAATAATTTAATTTTATCTGACTTATTTATATTGACAATTCAGACATACATTATGCATTTTAAAGTAGACGACTTTAAAACGATATTGCCAATATTGTTGAGTTGCTCTCCTGGGACGACTTTACTTATAAGATAGTTCATTCGATTACATGAAATCAACTTTAACTTGAGAATATCCGTCAGAAAAAAATCATAGCATATAATTCGTCTTTAAAAAGACAAACACATGACATGATGACAGTAAAATTCTCCTGTTAGTGATTCCATAGTAAATTATGAGGGAAAAACAAGGAAAAAAACCTCATACTACTATTCCGACATGGTAAGTATTTGTTCGTGCAATTAGTTTACCTTCAATAAACACCAAAATTCTGATTTTATATGTTTCGTTATTTAAAAATCATAACTGATGTATCCTCTATATGTTACTGACTTACTAATACTGGTATTTTCTTATTAATAACTTCCTCTTTCAATATTGGTAACCAGATACTACTACATTCTGCCGAGTAATTTGCGACACAATTGGCCTCACTTAGCATAATTAAAGGCGCTTCTTTGATTCTTCTTTTTTTACCATCCGTCTCTTTTAGGACTACATTTGAATTATTCCATTGAACCCTATGTTCATTATCCCATGCGTGTTTACATATTTGAGATCTACCAAATTCTTTATTTTTAATATAAGATTGATGTTCACTTATTATAACATTTAATGGCCTTGATGTTTCACCTAAATAAAACTGATCGCATTCACAAGGTATTTTATAAATGCAATTCTTTGTCCTTTCTTGTTCATCGTTAGGTTTGTTTTTTGACAAAATAGATCTCAACGTGTTTGTTGTTTTGAATGTTGTTGAAATGTTGAATTTATTGCCTATCCTTTTAAGTCTTTCTGATAATTCTTTTATGTACGGTATTGTTATTTTCCTCGTATTATTCCTTGTGTATGCTGTAGGATCTCGTTCTAAGTTGTTCTGTTCTATTCGATCGATTGTTGAAAATTCCTTATTTATAAACAATTTATAAATAATTCCTTATTTATAAATTGCATTTATAAAATACCTTGTGAATACCATCAGTTTTATTTAGGTGAAACATCGAGGCCATTTAATGTTAGAATAAGTGAACATCAATCTTATATTAAAAATAGAGAATTTGATAGATCTCAAATATGTAAACACGCATGGGATAATGAACATACCAGTATTAGTAAGTCAGTAACATATAGAGGATACATCATTTATGTTTTTTAAATAATGAAACATATAAAATCAGAATTTTGGTGTTTATTGAAGGTAAACTAATTGCACGAACAAATACTTACAATGTCGGGATAGTATTATGAGGTTTTTTTCCTGGCTTTCCCTCATAATTTACTATGGAATCACTAACAGGAAAATTTTACTGTCATCATGTCATGTGTTTGTCTTTTTAAAGACGAATTATATGCTATGATTTTTTTCTGACGGATATTCTCAAGTTAAAGTTGATTTCATGTAATCGAATGAACTATGTTATAAGTAAAGTCGTCCCAGGAGCACAACTCAACAATATTGGCAATATGATTTTAAAGTCCTCTACTTTAAAATGCATAATGTATGTCTGAATTGTCAATATAAATGAGTCAGATAAAATTAAATTATTAGAAGAATTTTTCACTATGTAACAAAAAACAAAATTTGTTTAATTGACTGTTTGTATTTTGAGAACGATTTCCGAAGTGGAAATTGAAACGTCAATAAACGTATTTTTATCTATAATTGTGGCTTATTCCCAGTTAAATAGCAATTAATTTAAAATGCCACAAGAAAATAGCTTCAAAACAATAAGAAACTAGATATTAGAAAATAAAGCAAAAAAAATCAGAAACTTATGGGTTATGCTTTTGACATTCATTTTCTCTACTGCTTACGCATATGCTGTAAGAATGTATTTATTTTTTTGCTGCCCGCAACAATTATCAGAATAAAATATAAAGTCTAGTTCTCCACCAGGAGTAGCCTGTATAATTTTTTCTATATATTACACAGTAAAACACCCAATCTCATTCGCTGTTTCACTGTTTACGTCAATTTCTTGAAATACTTGATGGCTCGTAAATCGTGAATGTATAGCTGGTGGATGTACTTTCGCAACGTTACTGTTTCCTATTTGGGCACCAGGTTCATTATTTGTACTCTCCAGTGACAATAACGACGGTGAAGAGATTTCCTGCTCGCAATCTTCAGCATTTGTTGCCATAGCAATAAGCAATCGCCCACTACTCAGGTATTGAAACTAAAAATGAATCAAGTAATATTATATTAAGTATATAGTTACTTGATGCAAGAATGTCACAAAGAATATAGTAACTCTAAATTTATAAAATAAAGTAGTTGGTAAGCTTTCTTAACACTGCTATACATTTTAAATGAGTTATTACTATCAGGTGATCGACAACAATGTTATGGTTAGCTTCAAATCAACAAGAATGTAATAACTCGAAGTATAGCTATGAAAATTACATACCTGATTCAGCAATAACGTGGAAACTGGACATGCGAAACAGGAGCAAAACAACTAAACAACACGTGCGTTTTCGATCACTGTGGTCGCAAATAATGATGGTTCGATATTGTGAGAAGTGACGACAGTCGGTTAGTCATGAAATAAGGTCTTATGGCGCCATCTCTGACAGTTTTATTGACTTATAGGGAATTGAATTTTACGTGTGAATATAGTGTTATGTCAATTTCGAAACATTTTGAGTTTCGACACTATTGTATTATTAGTGCGATGTATTAGAGAAGCATTTCAGATTGACCAATATATTCTGTAAAAATTAAAAACAATGACTTGTTTTATTTTATTTTATAAAAATCATTATTTAGTACTTTTTGTAGGGTCACTGGAACTACTGGTACCATAAAATGTAACAGCTCTAGTAGAAAGCAAAAAGGTGTCTTACAGTACAGAAAAGAATCATGTTATATACTCCAAGATGATAGCCTACCAAATCTGTTTACAGTTGAGGAATGTATGATGATTGCCAGCAAACTTAAAATTGACAATATGACCAAAAAAGCAAGGGAATTTTTGGTAAGTTATAATAGATATTCAATTGTGGAGAACGCATAAATTTGATAATAAATTAATTTGAATTTTCTGAAAACGTAAGGTAGTGGTGCCAAATAAGACCAATTGTAAATATTTTCTTAAATGTAGATATTAAATAGTAGATGTCGCCGTAAGTCACTTCCCGAGTCAAAATCGTTTACGCCATTTGGTCGATAGTATCAAACAGAAGCGCGAAGTTTACTAGACACGTGTGTTTTCGGTGCCGAAGTTTGATTATAAATTTTAGGTAAGTTATAAAATCATTGTAAAGTTTCTTAAATAATATGTACCTACCAATTGTATTCTCTTATTTAAAGCGATAGCAAATTAATTTTCTTCAATTAAATGGTATTTTCTTCACTTTATTGTTTATTATTACTGTGTTTTGAGGTTAAATAAAGAACTAGACAGTGCCTTATAAGACCAGTTGACTGGCCTTATTAGAAGTAGACTAGCTTTATAAAGAGTTAATTGGCTTTATAAACAATTTGTTTACATATTCACTGGTTCAATGTTCAACTTGTACAAAAAAAATTATGTTCGCTAGGAAAAGCGCATAGTGGTCACAACTTGGTCGTTAAAGCTACGATAAATGCCGTACTAAATGGCATTGCTGCTTATAGGACATCCCTTACATTTAATATCCACTGGAGTATGTTACGTACCACCTTGCTAGTGGCAGTTCGCAAGGCAGGAATAACGCATCTATTCTTGGTTAAAAATAAGATAGCTGGAAATAATTATTTCTTCTTGATATGCTTGTTTTATTAAAGTAGTAAAAGACGTATCCTACAAATACTAAGATAGATATGGTAATTCAAAAATATTAGAGGTATTAAAAATATTATATCACAATAAATCTTTGTTTTTATTACAAAACTAGAGCACACATATAAAATGCTATGCGTGTCTTGTTTCATAACATTTTCGCTACATTTGAAGTTAAGTTTAAGTTAACCTTGTAGATTCAGCAGTTTTTTATTAACATACTTGATTCATATACTTGATGTACAGATTCCAGCGAGGATTCTAGTGATGCAGTTTTCACCTCAGACAAATATGGGAAAGATGAGGCTGCAAAACAAAGTGAGATCTACATCTACGAGGAATGTATAGGATTAACAAAAGACGGCAAGGACCTATTTTTGGGTCCTCGATGTGTGTACATGTACGATAAACGTACTTATTATATTTAAAAAATTTTGTAATTAAATATCAATATAAGTTATCTTCACTAAACGTTCTATTTCTTCTTTAATTTTTAGGTTTAAAATTTAGTATAATTTCTGTGTAAAATGAAACTCATCTTATTAAGTTACTACAGCCTTCCCTCTCTATAATGATATGCAGACAAAAATCGTCACTGTAATAATAATACTGTATTAAATAACCTACTGCAATTAAAAAAAAAAACAATCTAAACGATTATAAATGAATTAACACTGTATACACAGTAATTTATTACCTTCAATAAATAATATCTGTATATAACAATAAAACACTGAAAACTTTGTTTTCAAACTTCCACAAAATTTATTCTAACTATTATCACTACAGCTGTTTCGGCTGATTGCCTTTCTCAAGTGATCTATTTTTGGCATGCGTTTACAATTTATAGTCTCTAATGAAATAGGTTGAGGAGGGGAGAACTGTTTGTCTCAATTTGGTCATTCAGAATTATATCTGTGTTTTTTAATTTGTTGATTTCCATAGATTCTAACAAAGATAGCTTAAGGCCTTTATTTTGAATGTGAAGTATTTTAAATTTGTTATTAAAAGAATGATTATGATCTAGAAGTGCGTATGTCGAATCTGTTTTTCTATTATTGAAAGCCCTTTTATGTTCTGCTATTCGTTTATTAAAGTTTCTACCAGTTTGACCGATGTAAGTTTTTGGGCAGTCGCCACATTAAAGTTTGTACACACCACTATTTAAGTGTTTTTTATTTTGAGTCTTGTTATTTTTAATATATTTGCCTAGGTTGTTATTTGTTCGGAAAGCTGGTGTTATTCCTTTCTTTTTTATGTGTTTGGCTATTTTTGTTGTTATTTTGCCTGTATATGTAATCGAGCAGAGAGTACTGGGTTTTTTCTCTGGTGGTGGAAATACTAATTTCAGGGCTTTCTTGTGTAGTTTTTGATTTAACATTTTATTAATTGTTTGTTCGTTGTATCCGTTGTTTACTGCTATTTGCTTAATTATATTTAATTCTGTCTCAAAGTTGTATTTTGACATCGGAATTTCTGTTAATCTATGTAACATACTATGATAAGCTGCCAGTTTATGTTGTGTTGGATGGGAAGATGATCCCATCATCATCCATCATCATCCCAACTACCAGAGAAAAAACCCAGTACTTTCTGCTCGATTACATATACAGGCAAAATAACAACAAAAATAGCCAAACACATAAATTAAAGAAAGGAATAACACCAGCTTTCCGAACAAATAACAACCTAGGCAAATATATTAAAAATAACAAGACCCAAAATAAAAAACACTTAAATAGTGGTGTGTACAAACTTCAATGTGGCGACTGCCCAAAAACTTACATCGGTCAAACTGGTAGAAACTTTAATAAACGAATAGCAGAACATAAAAGGGCTTTCAATAATAGAAAAACAGATTCGACATACGCACTTCACCTTCTAGATCATAATCATTCTTTTAATGACAAATTTAAAATACTTCACATTCAAAATAAAGGCCTTAAGCTATCTTTGTTAGAATCTATGGAAATCAACAAATTAAAAAACACAGATATAATTCTGAATGACCAACTTGAGACAAACAGTTCTCCCCTCCTCAACCTATTTCATTAGAGACTATAAATTGTAAATGCATGCCAAAAATAGATCACTTGAGAAAGGCAATCAGCCGAAACAGCTGTAGTGATAATAGTTAAAATAAATTTTGTGGAAGTTTAAAAACAAAGTTTTCAGTGTTTTATTGTTACATAAAATGAATTTCCATCAAGTAACGGTCGAATCCATCAATATCTGTATCTAGTTTTGACAAACGTTTTCATTAATTGTTTTTGTAATATTCAGCGGGATATTTTTATTATATAAGAGATTTTTAGGGCAAGAGCAAGTGATACTTAGGTCCTCTCCTTATATTTTTTTATTTTGATGACATTGATCAAATCTCGCTCTTTATAGGTATATAATGGCCTCTAGCACACGTTCATTAGATATGTGTGCTGTCGACGGGATTCTGAGCATGTGACGGTAACACCACAACTCGAACGCTTCTAATTTATTAAGACATAAGATATATATATATATATAATATATATATATATATATATATATATATATATATAATATATATATTGTGATTTGCTCAAACTGTATGTTTATAATATTTATTTTTTTTAACAAATTAATATGATATCTCAGGGCTCTTTTACTTATTAAAAACAAAACGTGGCTTCAAAGTATTTTTTGCTAGTTGCCTTTGAGGAAAATAAGGGATAGACAATAGGAAAATAAAATTACAGCACAATTATGACTTACAAAGCAAATGTTATATTAAAAAAAAAACAATCAAATATTAAAAGTAAAAATTTTGAATAAACATAAATATACCATATACAATGATTAGAATAAAAATCTCAAACATCCATCAAATCATACATACACAATTATCAATACAAATTAATTAAGCTTATATGCAAATCTAAAATTTCTTAATTTTAGTGACTCCTGATAAATTATCATGTATTATAATTCTCAATAAAAACAACAAAAAAAACCAATAACCCTAATTTAAAAAGGTGGTCGTGATTGAAAGTCTCTGTTTCTAAAAATGACGAAACTAACCTTTTGTTCCCACAATTGATAAATTCACCTCTCTCTCCTGTGATTGTGCCTTGTCCACCTTGCTCGTACCTTTCAGTTTCTCCAGAATACTCTTGTTAAACTCCTCTGCTCCAAATCTTTACTACATGAATAAACTCCTCCTCTCCAGATACAAAGGATATCTCAACTAATCGACTTGATCCAGTATAAAATTATACATCTGTTTATTACTTACAGCAGTCAGTTATTTCTTCTGTCTGCTACCACAGTTGGAACTCTTTCCACCAAACACAAATACAACTTTTCACAATCTAGACTTAAAAAAAAACTTGTCTAATTAGCAACGTCGTCTCCACAAAAAAAAACTATAGTATACTCGTCCGATATTCAATTCACAATGCCTTCCTCTCTCTTGCAAAAATCTATCCAAAATCCTTCCATCTCCGTTCTCTTTTCCTTGAATTAATCAGAACGTATCTCCCTCCAAACAAATTTTACTTTCTTCAAAGAAAAAAGGAGAACTTTCTCCTATCCAATAATTCATTGGTCATCTAATAAACATTTTCAATTTCTAGAGAAAAAAGGATAATTACCTGTCACAAACTATTTACAAACCTACCCTATTGTATAATTCTTGGTAGTCCATACAATAGAAAGTTTAAGGTACAAAAATGTCTATTTAAAACTAAACTCTTAGAAAACCCAATATATTGTTATATTGTCTTCTTATTTTCTGGGAATGTCTTTGAACGTATAAAATTCACTTTCCGAAAAAAAAACACCTTCTACAACTAATGCTAAACAGTATCATATATAGGGTGTTTGCGATTTCTGTTGGTCGGTGATTTGATTTTTGTCTTAATCTTTTTTGTATTTGATTTTTGAAATTTATGGAACCTTATTAATATATATATATATATATATATATATATATATATATATATATATATATATATATATATATAAATTTATTAATTTTTTTTTCAGTTGTAGTTTAATTATTATTTGTTTCTTTCAGATTAACGAAATCCTGACCAATTTAAGCTTATTAAAATCAAAGAATACTAGATGCCAAGCTCTATCTGGTGGTCAAAGGAAAAGGTTATCAATAGCTTTGGAATTAGTCGACAATCCACCAATTCTGTTTTTGGACGAACCAACTACGTGAGTAGTATTGATTATCTCTTTTTTGTAAACTATTTAGACATTCTTTTTTCTATAATGCATTCATATAATAGAAAGCTTAAGAGACTTTTTATTGTCGTTCACTAGGGTAAGCAAAAAGCTTCCTTGAAACAAAGTAATCTATTATGGTTGCTAAAGATCGTAACTTCGACACCCCCATCGAACAAGGTTGTAAATCAAGTTAGATCTATTTTCACATTTAAACACAGACGAATTCAGTGAAAAATTGCGCACACGTCAATATAAACCACATAGCTTAATTCTCAATAGTTTCGCTAATACTCCGTTGAAAAAAGTTGTACTTTAAGTTAGGTGTGTCATTTTAGCGTCAAAAAGGCATTAACCCTGTTGCGCCCTATGTCAAAGTTTTAGTTTCTATATATTTGACGATTAATAAGGTTGCTAAAGAAGTTACAGCTTTGTTGCACGTACGTTTAATTTATAAAGTAATCAAACATACGGTGTATCCCCCAAGTCAATCTTGTTGTATGAATAGCTTACTGGGGAATCTCATATGCTATATGAGTTGCTGCTTTGTTTGTGTTCTGCTAGTTACAGTAAATCCCATTTACGTGAATGTAACTTTATTTTAAAATTATTTAATTTAGTTGATATTTTTGACTATACAAGTGTTTCAATATCGAGATATATTTTCAAATTGAGTTGTAATAGGCATATATTAGAATTAGCTGTGAAAAATAGTGAAATAGACGCTGAACCTGGTGAGTAATTATAACCATAATTTTGTAAGTAAAAATAAGTAGTTTATATTTTATTATAGATATGGAACAAAATTTATTTTCTGGCGAGATCGAAAACTTAGACATTATTGAAAAAGATTTTGATGTAACAGAAAACCCTTTATGTGCAAATACATTATATGTATCATCCCAAGAAATACTTTTTCAACATGGCAATGATTTATTCGAATTTAAAAGAAAGTTACGGCCTGGTTTTAGCAAATTTCTAGACTCGAATGGTAGTGATGTCTACCATTCTAGTCTAGTGGTCATAGAGAGGCTTTCTCTGCCGATGTGTCCGAATATGTACCTTCCAGTTCTGAAGGTAAGATGTCAGTTTTTAGAATATCCATTGCAATTTACTTTTTTCTTGTTAATAGACGACCACAATTTCCTTTCTTTACAAATTGTTAATTTCTGTTTCTATTGTTATTCTGTGGTCTTCAGGTAGATATACAAAAAATAATTTTGTTGTAGGTAGTAGCTATTCGGATGAACCAAAAGAAAAGAATCTACAAAAAATATATGACGTTGAACCAAAAACAAACCTAAATATACAAACCCAATATAGTGCTACTGATATAGAACATAATTCGCATAAGAAAAAGAAACGAGATATGCCGGAAAAATGTACTTCTAGTCGTAAGAGGACACGCAATACCAACAATTGGAAATGCAACTTGAATAAAAGGAAAAAAATTAGGATTGGCATTCACGAATCAACGAGTCAACAAATCCGAGAAAGGCAAATGAAACAAGGGTGTACACAGAACTGTTCCAAAAAATGTATTCAAAAGTTATCTGTAGAAATGAGAAACCAGATTTTTTTAACAATTTTGGGCTTTTGGGAATCATAATCATCAAGTACACTTTATAAATAACTGTGTTGAAAGAATACCTAAAAAACAAGTAGTACTTGCAACACTTGTAACTTCAAGGCGCCGCTGATCATATAAATATGCATTTCTGGTAAACGGTGATAAAATTTAGGTATGTAAGAAAATGTTTTCGATACTCTAGATATTACAGATAAGTGAGTTAACACTATTTATAAAATGATTGATATGGAAGTACCTGATTGTGTTTCACTAGCCGAAGCCGTCACGAAAACCGCCCAAACAAAGTAGCTGAGGTTATTAAACAAACTACGAGGACACACATTGCTCAGATACCAGTTATAGAGTCACATTACGTGAGGGCTCGTAGCCGTAAACAATATTTTGACGAATCTTTAACGTTTCCCAAATTATATCAACTTTATAAAGAGTGGTTACATGATAATTAATATGCACCAGAGATACAAGCCACCGAGAGACAATATCGAGAAGTATTCTACAATGAATTTAACGCAAGACCAAAAACCTTTAAACCCAAGAAAGATCTGTGCGCAACATGTGATATTTATAAAACAGCTTCAATTGAACAAAGGGAAAGTTTACAGCTTACTTATACTCATCATATCGCTTCTAAAACTGTGGTGCGCGAATTCAAAACGCACATTAAGTCGCTTGTTCAATGTAGTAACTCAGTAGTTGCGGCATGTTTTGATCTCCAGAAGATTTTATCCACTCGAATGTCAGAAGTTTCTGCATCATACTATAAGCGAAAACTCGCCGTCTTCAATTTTTCAGTCTTTGATTTAGGAGACAATTAAGGACACTGCTATGTCTGGGATGAGACTGTTGGCCGGAAAGGTACTAACGAAATTAGTAGTGCTCTATATTTATTTATTAAAATGAAAGTCAAAAAGGGATTTACAGACTTTTTCTTCTTTTCGGATAGTTGCGGAGGACAAAACAAAAATAGAATAGTTTTTGCTATGTACTCCTTTGCAGTGAAAAAGTTTAACATTAATGTTACACACATGTTTTTTGAAGTAGGGCATTCACAAAACGAAGGCGATTCAATGCATGCCCTGATAGAAAGACGTAAAAAACATCAAATCATATATGTTCCAGAACAATGGATAACCATAGTACGATGTGCCAAAACATCAGGCAAGCCGTATTCAGTAACAGAAATAAATCAAAAACAAATTTTAAATTTTAAACTATTTCAGGACATTCATATTAATTTTGGTCTAGATATTAAAAACAATAAAGTAAAATGGTCGGAAATTAAATATTTACAGATCCGCAATGAAAATGCGAAAATAATTCACGTTAATTATGACGTTCTTTCCGAAAATAATTACTGCGTTAATTTAGAACAAATGCCTGTAACTCAACGTTCTTCAGCTAGGAAGTCAACAAAAGATAAGAATGAGCGTATCACCCTGACAGATATACCTCCCGTTTATTCTATTTCTCTCGCCATATCGAAAGACAAATATAAAGATTTAAACAGCCTTTGTAAGACAAATGTCATACCCGAAATATATCACCGCTACTATAAACAATTAAAATTTTGTGACCCTAAAAATATTCAACCATCAGACTCCGAATAAAAATTTGAAATAATTATTTTATTTTGTTCATAGTGATTATTTTGCTCGTAGTGGTAGAATATTGTTGTTTTTGTAAAATTTATAATTTCCAATTAAAATTGTGTTCGAGTTGATATTTCATTTAAATATACCATAACAACTAATTTTCTCTTATTTACATTGCCAATGCCTTCAAACATACAACCTTTTAATGGTAAAACGGAAAAAATAATTAACACGGAGAGTGTAAAATGGTTGTTAAGCGAGTTACAACTTTTTTCTACGAAGATTCATGTTTAATCTCAAGGTTGTATCTCAACCAAACTCAAGATTTTCAATAGATAATCAAATTACAAAACATACATCTTAAAGTAATCCCTCATTATGTTATAAATATCGTCTCGCATTGGTGTAAAAGAGTTTACTCATTTCGCTACAATTTTTTAAAATAGATCTTTTCGTTTTTTGCCTCTCCTGTAAAATCGCTAAAACTGAGTTGCAACCTTGTTCGATGGGGGTGTCGACTTTGTCGCTCTTGTGTGATAAATTCTGAAAAATTGGGACCCGAAAACAAGCTTAATATTTCAATGCAGTTATCCTGAGATAATCCTAAGCATAATCCATTAAAATGACAGCGTTTAGACTCGTGCCCTTGCTGTACGGGAATTTACATACATGCTATACCTTTTAGCTCTTAATGAACTGATATTTTAAAAATTATTTATTAACACTTTTATCCAAAATTTGGCAAATAATATTTATGATGGTGACATTTACACGTTAAATAGCAAATGGGATTCCTGAATTATCTTGGTAGCACAAGATTGATCGCCTAAATTGGTATCTTCAACAACAAAACTGGAATATTGGAAATTGGCAAAATGTGCTATTTCCAGACGAAACCAGAATTTGTGTAAAATCAGATGGAAGACGAATTCGTGTACTTAGAGGAGAAAGTGTCATGTTCTGGGGAGGTAATATGATCGATGAAAAACTAATGTTCAATATTTATAAGACCAGTTAATAAATTTAAACTGATCCAAACAATCAATAGTATAAAAAGCAAATCTTTCTATAGTACTGATGAATTATTCATAAAAATTTTCTCAAATCTCACAAAAAATGTATTGGAAGCCCTGGTTTCAATAATTATTGATTTTTTAAAAAAGACATTTCCAGAGTGCCCAAAGACAACCATTATTAATCCTCTTCAAAAGAGTGATCAAAAATCTGATGCCTGCAACTGCAGACCTGTTGCTTTACTACCGGTACTACCGTTAGATAAACTACAGTTTATCTAATATATGTACCAGTGATACTAAGTGAGGTTTCTTCTTGTGATGTCTATCCGTTACGGATGTTGGCTACTAGCATTTCAATTCTAACTTTATTGACCGCAGCTCGAAATAGTCCTAAAGTGGTCAAGGAAAAGTATTTTCGTAAGTTCTGGAGCCACGATATTCTTCTTCTTCCTGGTCCCCTTTTTCCGTGGACTTTCCCTGTAATATAAGTTGCAGCAGATTATATCAATGATCGTTTCGCATTATATGTCCAAGATATTCCAGCTTGCTTTGTTTCACTGTGGATATAATTTCACGTATTTTATCCATCCGACGTAGAACCCCAATGTTTGTTATTTGGTCCAGCTAGGGGATCCTCAGTATCCGTCTATAACACCATCTCAAACGCCTCGAGTTTTCCCATGGATGCCTCGGTTAGTGTCCATGATTTAACCCCATAGAGCAGCACTGTAAACACGTAGCGTCTCAATAAACGGATTTTCGTTTTAAAGGGTAGGTCGTGGTTCTTAAATA